CCCTTGTTGCCAGCAGGAAGCAGCTAGAGATGTCGTCTCCCAGTACCCCAAAGATTTGGGTCCATACCTCTTCAGGGGGGAAATGTTAGGTAGCTAGCATTGGGCCTGGGGTGTCCATTATGCATGCTCAGAGGTTTGAGCTTCCGGCCAGGAAGGGGTGGTACACCTAGGTGGGCATTACACCTGGATTGGCCCATCTGGGCCAGGTGCATTTAATTCAGCTAATGAGGTTAACCAGTACCATCGACCACACCTCCCAACGGGAGCTCTGAAAAGCCAGTTTGTTCTGGTGCCCTCTCCCAGCAGAGCCGACACGCAGTGCAGTGTGTCTGGGCGTCAGCCTGAGTGGCCGGGCCTTGGTCCTGAGCATTTGTGCCGTTTCTGTCCTCTAGAAACTCACTTGGATCACAAACCAGGCTTCAGTATGACTTCTTTCTCGCGAGAAGCAAAGGACCGAGGTATCTCTCCCACGAGAGAGACCTCCCAGTATCTTGTAAGCAACCCCATGGCACAATCCCAGCTAGTGGCAATGGGCTCCTATCCGACACAGTGTGAGTAGTGACAGTGTGCACGCATACCCCAGCCCACTCATATTCTGTCCGTCTTCACTGCACTGTATCAGACCTAAGCCAGGAGCAGGGGCTGCTTCCTACTGAGAGGGGGCAAGACACTCCCAAAGTGCCCTTCAGGGGAGAGGGAGTGGCACACATTCTATCATGGGAGCTCCTCCGTAGCTCCTTGGCGTATCTTCCTGCCGGCTCCTGCCCTCAGGTGTCGGCCTCCGGCTGACTCTCACCCTGCTCTGGGATGTTCCCTAAGTGTGGGGGAGTCTGAGGCTACCTCCATCTCCTTGCCTCACAAATCCCCGTCCTGCATCTCCAAGTCAAACCCTCCTCTGGTCAGCAAAGGAACTTAAAACCAAACACAGAGAACAATGGACACTGCAATGGGACTGATTCTGACTCCGTGACCTTAGAGGACAGGGTAGAACTGCCTTCGTAGGTTCCACGTTCTGGTCACTCTTTATAGGAGTAAAAAGCCTGATCCTTCCCCCCATGGTGCTGCTGGTGGTTTCAAATTCCTGACCCTGTGGTTAGTAGCTCAATGCACAACCCAGTATGCTGCCAGGAAAGGGGTGTGTGTGTGTTGGTGTGTGTGTTTGGGGGTGTGTGTGTGTGTCATCGATTTCAAAGAAAATGGTTTTGGCTGGCTTTGGGGAGAAGGGCCTTTGAAGGTCTCGGTGTGGTCGTTTCCCCCGTTAAGTCTATATCTTTAAATGCCTGTGTGGAGAGGAGAATGGGTGGGAGGTGGGGAGCAGGGATTGAGATTGAGGAGCCTTGAAGGTTGTTCCACATGGAACCCTTTTGTGACTGTTTTGACTCGCTTCCCTTCCTCTCCCTTTCCGCAGTCTGCCCATCTTCTGTCCCACTTCACCATTCCAGCCGACTTCATTGGCAATTTATCTTTCCCTTGAGTCAGGCTCACTCCTGAATCAGCTTCTAGGCACCACACCCAACTACCTCAGCTCTCCTCCTGGAGGGAGGTTTTCAGGCCTGTTCTGAGTCCAGCCCTCCTTGTTTGGATCCCATTCCGAAATCCCATTCTTTGCCCCAGGACAGCCTTCACTGCGTCCTTGCTGTGGATTCATGTCCTTAGAAAATGATCGGCAGATTGTCTTTTTTTTCTGACCCTGAGTTTCCCCCATCTCTATGATCTCCACGGAGCCACCCCCCAGCCTATTCCCATGTGAACACTGAGGTTCAAAAGAAAGCTGGGTCGGGGCTGGTGCACAGGACACCCTTACTGAGAAGCCTCGTGTCTGCGACTGAGAAGCCTCGTGTCTGCGGCTGCAAGCAGAGCAGGCTACAGGAACGGCCCGGCTCCTGGCTGGAGTAAGGCACAAAGGGCAGGACTTGGCAGGTGTGCACCATCCCAAGGTAAATCTGCATCACATTCATACCTTCAGTGCTGAGAGAATCAGCGACCGAGGGGCCTAATGAAGAGGCCTGCCATCGCAAGTACTTCTCCTTAGGTCTCCTTTTGCCAGTCACGCAAGTCCTTTGTACTAGAGAAAGCTCTCTTCGCAAATCCTGGCAGGAAGACCACTGCCCCTGGAAGCAGGTGCTCTGCACCTTCTGCTTGTGCCTCCAGGCCTCTCTGTTCTGTTCCGGTCAGCCAGTGAGAGTCATCAGCAGTGGGAGGTGAGGAAGCGAGGGAGGTGATTCTGCCCTGCAGTCTTGTAGCATTCCTCTGCCGCAGCTCTTAGTGCATGGCTCTGTCTGGTTTCTGCTAACTGCTCCCTCCTCTTCCGCCCAGGGATGGTGACAGCACTGCTGTTTTCCAGTCCCAGAGGATTGCACCATCATTGCTGCTTTCTCCACGCCCCGCCCACAGCTGACAACCCTCTTCACAGGACACTGGCTTCGATTATCTGCTTATCTGCTTGCTCCCAGGACCCTAATGTGGGAAGATGGGAAGGGTGGTTCGGTAAAGGTAAGGCAAAAGAGAATACAAATATTGAGTTGTCTTAGAATCAGAGAAATGGGGTTTTGAAGCCAAGTGGCAATCTTGCCAAGTTATATAACTTTTCTAAATACCAATTTCCCCAGACTTACTATGGTGATAATATCTACCTGGTGTAGTCGTGAAGGTGAGATAACACCTAAGAAAGCAATAGCACGGGTCTGGCACATAGCAGGTATGGGGGGAGGGCCAACCCCACCACCACTAATCACGAATCGCGGCCAGTAGGCGCAATTGTACAGCGATAATAAGTAACGATTATAGTAAAGTCATAGAGAGCATGAGAGA